CACACGTGGACAGAGACGTGGGTGTCGACGTGGACGTGGATGTGGGCGCACGTGTGGACATAGATGTGGATGCCGATATGGGACGTGGATGCCGACATGGACATGGGCGCACGCGTGGACATAGATCTGGATGCCGACGTGGACGTAAACGTGAGTGTGGATATGGGTGCGATGGGTGTGCACTAGGCGTGGAGAGGGACAGGTGGCGTGAGCAGAGGAAGGGAAGAGAATGACGGAAGGCACTTGAGGCTGAGACGTGGGAACGGCCTCGCTTGGGGGTAGCGAAACTGGGACCTGGAGGAAGACCCCGGAGCCCTAAGCGTGAGGCACCAGGGGGTCTGCAGGGATCCCCTAGGGTGCTGCACAAAGCCTGGCCTGTAGGGGGCAGCAGAGTGTTGGCATAAATCCCGGTGGAGCGTTTACTGGGCCCAGTTGCTACAGCAGGAAATGCAAGGCCAGTGGGAGCCGCGAGAGGTGGTCACTCGGCAGTCATTAGACACCCCAGGGAATTCAAAGCGACTTTGGTTTATAAAATGCTAATCTACCTAAAGGTTTTAGGGGAACCAGGGCATTATGTAACGCTTTGTGTACCAACGGCAGGCTTTCCCAAGTTATTGAAACATAACAAACCGGTATAGAAACAACATACCTTGTGTTGTGACCCTGGTAAAAATGTTCAGAGATTGGAGATTATAAGTGAATTTCATTCATTGTGTAATTATGAAGTCATGGCCGCTAGAAGTGTGGGGAGGCGGAGGTTAGCTCTTGTCCAGCCCCACATTTTGCAAACTCGGCCCCTTACCTAAGGGCACAGACCCACTCAGCTGGGAGTGACAGGCACGTCAGCTCGCAGCCAAGAGTCTCTCATTTGTTGTTTAGTGTTCTGCACAAAACAATCAATATTTTTATTGAAAGAGGGGCCACAGCTCTGCCCACAATTCGCTCTGTAAATGCGTCTCCTTGTTCCCAGCCTTCATCCTGGTTCTCACCTTTGTCAGCTGTGTCCAGGTAGAAACAGGCCGGAGCGACCGCCCAGACTGTCCGGAGGCAGTGCATGCATCTAGCATAACCCCCGACACATACAATAGTGCGGTGCAGGCCTGGGGAGGAGGGGTGTCGGTGGGGAAAAACGGGGACATCTTTAATACCTTCAGCAGTAAGATAAATTTAAAAAGGAAAGTTCCAACTACAGAAAATGCTGAAGGAAATATTCTTTTATGGCTTCAAAAAAATGTACATTTGTTGATGGGGTTTTTTAAACAATGTCAAAATAGAAGGTTTGAGGGGTTTTTTCCCCCAATTAAAACTCAAAAAAAGAATCTTTCTTACCTGGTAGATGAAACCATTGCCTCTGGGGGAGTTTATAGAACAGGTTCCGCCTGAAGGGCATTTCATAGCTCCCTCAAAGCCCTATTGTTTTAGGAGATGGAGCCCACCTCCAATTACGGCAAAGTTAGCACCAGCGTGAACATCAGCCTGTTAGTAAACATTCGGGAGACTTCACAGGGAAGTTTACGACGTGTTACCTAAACCTCGGTATTGGGGTGACTGGTCGATTCCTGCAGGAGCCGGGACTTGTGGGAGCCACTGACCATCCCCAGCAAAAGCAGCGCCATTCGCATCTAGAGTTAGGCAGGAGGGGAGCTGGGGCCGGGAGGTTTAAAGAGCAAATAAACACGGGCACACAAAAGCCCAGAATGTTTCTTAATGCCAGGTCTCAATCGGAAACCTCTCAAATCATAACTCATAAACCGGGAAGAAAATGTAGGCACACATATGTGTAGATAAATACACATCCACGCGGGTGTGCGCGGACGATGTTGGAGGCGTTGGGGATGCTGACAGTCTGCTTCTTGACAAAGAGCAGACTGGAAAAAGAATCGGAAACTCGCTTCCACCTTGCACCTGCTGCTAACAGGTTACCTGACCCTGGGCGGGGCAGGCCTTTCCAGGGGCCTTGTTTTCCACAATTATTAAATGAAGACATTAAGTTCTACGATCACCAGGGCCTTCCTTGGGATAGTTTCCTGACCTCAGGGCTGTATTTAAAATTCTTGAAGCAAGAAATTAGCCACTTTTAAAGACCTGCTGCTTTGACCTAGAAATGTCCTGTGTTCGTCCTCTGTGAGAGCAGACATGGAAATAAGAAGGACAGGAACCTCCCTCGTTTCTCCAAGCACAGTCTGTGTGTCCCGAGGAAAGTGGTGATCTCAGCAAAACAGCAGCGGGCTCCCCGGAAACGGTTAAAGTGGGCTCTCTCCCGCCCCCTGGTGGAAATGGGGCCCGCTCGCTCCGATTCATCTGCTTCCTTCTTCAAGAAACAAAACGGAAAGAGCTCGGCCCTAAGCGGGAATCGAAACCAAAGGCAGCCGCTTACAGGTTTCCCACACCATTCTTTTTTTTAAAGTTCAAGATCAGCAATGAAATGCTGCAAAGTAGGCTCAAACCAGGGCACAGTGTCCAAATGAAACACAGGCCCGAGTTAGAAGTTTTGTATTTAATTTATACCCACGAAAATCTTAGTCAATTAATTAAATAGGACAAGTGTACCAGCTTTAAGCCACTGGGCAGGAAATGCTCCTTCAGTCCAGTTTGACATGCATTGTACTCTATGTAAAGTTCTCCTGAACGGTTCTTGACACCGAAGCTAAGGCAGCCCTACCCTGGGTGTGCCCTACACCTATGCCGGCCGCCGGAGGTAGGTGGTGATGATGATGATGACCTGTGCGTGTGTCCCCCCCCCCGGACTGTGAGTTCCTGACAGTCCATTGGCCGCTCCAGGTGAAAGGGGGCCTTGAAAATTCACTCATAGTCCTCGACAGCCACGTTTAAGGCTAAAAATCCTATTACTGTGGCAGAGAGGAGGAATCAGGGTTTGGGACAGCTACAGGTCCATCACAGGGACAGAAATGACACTCTCCTTGCAATGACACAGAGCCAAGCAGGCAATCCCTGAGTAGGAGGCGCTGTCTCCTCCCAGACTCACAAATCACACACCTAGTGGGGTTTAAAGAGCCCGAGTGTACAAGGAGTTCCGTCTTGCTCGATTAGAGGGAAGTCCCATGGCTGTGTGCAATGAAGAAGGGACTGCACTCTCTCGAAAAAGTGTTTAAGCAAAACAGAGACAACCTCCCTCCCTCCAAAGGCACCTTGACGCAAATCACACTTGGCCCAGGAGCTCAGGTCTGTCCATCCACTTTCTTGCCCAAAATTTCCCTCCTCTCCCAGAGCCACCCTAGAGGGCACCTTCAGAAAATCAACACACATTGTGACACCAGCGCAGATGAGAAAAACCAGCGAGTTTATTAACCTGCAAGGTGCAGAAAGAAGGCATCAGAGGCTTATTTTTCTGGGCAGCAGCGTAAGTTTTTCAGACTGTAATTAACACCAGCGACACAATCAGACATCACATCTTCAAGAACCCAACACTATTTATCAGCTTTAAAGATATTTCCAACTGACATCAATTCCATATTTATATGTATAGATATATTGTTGCATAGATATACTGAGTATAAATCACCTATAGTTCTTTTGAAAAATAGTGTGATATAGTTAATATTATAATTTAAGATTCCATATGATGAACCTGATAAGGCCTTAAACATAACTTATAGATGCATCTATCTTAGAACTAGAAGAAATTTTAGGTAATCACCTGGTTCAACCAACTCCTTAAGAGAAATTAAGAATTATTCTCACATTCTAGATCAAGTTACATGGACAATTGATGTTCAATGACTCGCCCAAGGCCACAAAGCTACTAAGTTTCCTCTTCTCTCAGCTACTGTTTTCTAGCCAAACTGATCTCTAACCTGATTTTATGTGCGGTCCTAAGACTTTCAGGGGCAAGATAATTCACTAAGAAACCTCATCCTGGGGTCTACTGTGCTTATTCAGTAAAACAATTAAATCTGTGTAATGAAAATACACAACCAGCCTTGGCTTTGGTTTCAGTTACTGACCCACAGTCCCTCCGCTATGGAAACAGACTCGTGTGGGAAACATCAATATGGATACATTGTTGCACCGGCCAAGTTGAATGTATCCAGTTTGGGGCAAAACACTCATCCTATCCAAAGCCATGTCTGCAGAGGAAAGGACAGGAATCGAAATACACAGGATGTAATTAAGAAAGGTGGTGTGTCTGTGCTCAGAGGGTCTTGGGTTGACTGTCTCTCTACTGGACTGTGCCAGGGCTGTTAGCCGCAGGCTAAGTGCCCCCCGCCCACGAGATGGCTCCGTGGGAGCCCGGAAACACGGACACGATCTGCGGGAGCTCGAGGCTCCGGGACCTGGGCTGAGTCCGAGTGACAGAGCCTGGCCGGACTGGGAGGGCGCCAACCCTGACCGCTTGAAGGTCTCCACAGTGAGCAGCTGTAGGCGGGGC